TATTTTGTATTTTGTTAAATATGGTCTCTTATTTGAAGGTTGTCACTACAATTTTTTGGCATTTTCGTCAAAAGAAAATTCGCATTACAATTTGTTGTTGACGGCAGTCATTTTACATGTTTAAATTTTCAGCTTTTGAAGTTTGTTTATCAGCGCATTAATTCGCATTACAATTTGTTGTTAACGGCAGTCATTTTGCATGTTTAAAGTTTCAGCTTTTGGACTTTGTTTATCAGCGCATTTTCAGTTTCCTTATGTATGACAGAAATCATATTTTTGCTTTCCATGTGACTACAGTTGGGAAATGATCTGTGGTTTGCTGCCACAAAATAAGCAAAAATTTGTTCTGTATCGAAATTGTCAAAACTAAAATTTGCCATACATTGGCAGTTTTCATGTGTTCTTTCCCGTTTTTTTTCATTATCGGGTTAATCGTCATAACGACTGACCTTCGTAATGAAGTGGAGCAAGTCTGGATCGTTATTGTTTAGGAACAGCAAGCGGCTTGTAAGTATTGCAGAATTTTTAACTTCTAATCTTTTTTTGCGACAGTGCATTTCTGGATTTTTTTTTTGGAGGGGGGGGGGTCTTGATGGTTCATCCTTTCAGTCTTCTTTTCAATAAACACTCAGAATTTAAGGCGGAACGGTTGCTGTTAATGTCATCGTCAGTAGAGTGGTGTAGCAAGTCAGTCTACGATGTGTAGTACTGTCGGAAAGTTTGAGCAATTTTTGATAAAGTGTTGTTTTTCTTCTCAACAATTTCTTGTCGTTGTTCTGCTAGCTTCTGCTAGCTGTTAGCTTTAATTCTGCTAGCTCTTTTTACATACCAGAAAGTTCTTATACTGTTCTACAGTTGGTTTTGTTAAGTTTTTCTGTCAAATTTCAATATTAATTTTTAGTTAAATTATGTTTATTCATTATTTTTCGGTTTTAACATCTAATGTTTGAGAATATTCAAATAACTTTTACTGAAGAGTATTGTTTTCTTATTGATATGTACTTTGTAGAAGTTACTGAATGTTGCTGTCGTATGTTACGAACGTACATCATGGTCAACTTAGTGTCGTCAATTTTCGCTTTATTTAACGCTTCTTTTCTGTCTGTTATTTATAGTAGAATTACAGAAATACTGGAAATCTAACTGCGAAATCCAGATGCCTTCTTTAACGGAATCTGGAGCCTCAACTGCAGCTCAGTTTTTTACTTTACCTTTTCGGCGACGAAGACAGCAGTACACAATAAGCCAGCCAGATGAAGTTTACAATGTGATATACCTGGGCAATGTGCTGACCGTAATGGCAAAAGGTTATTCTAGATATTTGTATTGGCTTTTAGGATTTCTGCTATCGCGTGAAATCATTAATGGATTTACGCGAAAAAGAAACAATTGGTTGCTACTTTTTTTCTCTCGGCCTGTTAAATTTTTTCATCAGATTGGTCAATCTCTGTTCCCTAGCTTTTTTACTGATTTTCTAAAAAATATTTATGGAAAACAGAATTGATAAATTACTTATACTTGCTATTTAAAAGTGGTGGTATTTGTTTTTGAAAGTATAAAGTATGTACTTCCCAGTACGAATCTTTAAGGAGTATTTTTATTATCTGAATCATTAATTTTGTTCTTTTCTTAGGTGAAGGATGTGTGGATAAACCTCTCAATTTAATATGGAAGACGTACTGTAGTCGCCAAAGGTCCGATCTCCAGATGAAGCTGTCTGTTACGCGATCTGGTCTCAAAGTGTGTTATTGTGAGCATTTTTTGCTGAGATATTGGTGTTGTTTAGAATTCATGATCGCTTTTATTTTAGGCTGAAACGAAACAACAAGGCTTGACAGAATATTGGGCACATAGAATTACGTATTGTTTGGCTTCTCCTGATTATCCTCGGCTGTTCTGTTGGGTTTACAAGCACGAAGGGAAGAGAATGAAGCCTGAATTAAGGTAATATTTCTTTATTATCAAGTCAAATATTTTACATCTCTCAAATGTTGTTTCAAATTGTTAGTGTAATGGTTACGACTTTATAAGTGTTTCGAAATACAGCTATTTCGTGTTATAGATGTCATGCCGTGTTATGTCGGAAGGTTAATGAACCAGCAGTAATGGCAACACATTTAAGCGAATATCTGCAGTCAGCTCTTCGAGTACGTTTATTTAAATAACATCTAATTCAATTTTTTTAAAATCCTTATTCATTATAGAGTTTTTTAAGGAATACCGTCGAGAAAAAATCTGCATGCAGAATTCAAGGTTATGTTCAAGTTTAACGGGACAGGTGGCCACTTGTCCGAGAAGGTATAGGTTTACTTTTTTAAATTTTGTTTATTGTGTAATAGACTAAATCAAAAAAATTTGAACAATTAGACATTTTGCTTTCTGAGGTGTTTCAAACCGGCTTATTTTAAGGACACTGCCTTGAATCATTTTAAGTTGCTTTTTCAGAAAGCTTTTGCTACAAACCGGAACTTTGAACTTTCGTCCTCCAGTCAGCCGATCACGTAGCGCGCCAAGGCTTGGTTCTATTGATGAAGGGGACGAAGAAATTGAAGCTCAACAGGTTTGCACTTAGAAGAGTCCTGCAAAAGTTTGAAATATTGGAACTCACTATTTTTTGGTTTTTTAAAGCGTTTACTGTCAATCTAAGGAAATCACATTTTTATTTATATTTAGGAAGACGATTTTTCTGATCTTGATTCGTTATGTTACCGTGATTCTCCCGTTGCTGATGATGACTGCGCCTCTAGTAGTGCGGCTAGCACGTCTTCAGGTTCTCGACAAATATATCTTTATCACTTCTTTACACATATTTTCAAGAGCTCAATACTTTTTGTAGAAATGTTTTTGTTTATTTTATGCAGCGTTTTTATAGCTACAGTATCGCATATTCCAGGTGGGATGGAGGGTCACTCATCTACAGCGTCAGATAGACTTTCGTCACTAAATTCTTGTCCGACTGCATCGACATCTTCTAGCCTATGTTCAAGTGATTCTTCAGCTACGGAGACTGAAGAAACCAGTCCAGATTCTGGGAATGGCGAGCATGGTGAAGGTAAACAGAGGGATGTTTCTGGTAAACGGTCTTCATATAAAGAACCAGATTCAATAAGTGACGAGTCGGGCTACCACGACATATGCTATTCTGATGACGACTGCCCTGTCGCCGAAGATGACTTGGACGAAGACATGTTAGAATCACAAGTTACTTCCTTGTAGTGCTCCCTCTGGTGTTCTTTATCAGTTCAGCAATTTAGAGATGGAGTTTACAATGAAATGAAGCTGCTTTTGAAAGAGTTAAGAAGTTCTTGAGGTTCTTTGTCTTATAAGCAGTCATCAAATGTCAGGCAATAGTAACAGACTATGTTGTTGTCATAATCAAATTTTTTTGTAATTCCGTCGTTTGGGAAGTGGATAGCTTAGAGAGGGGAAGTTATTTATAGAGTTTTTATTGTTATTATGAACTTGATAGTACAAATAGCACGAGGTGCTTGCTCAATCCTTTACTTTTTTAGTTTGGAATGTGTACAAAATAAAGATCAAGCCCATACATTTGAAGTGTATAATTAATGAGAAGTTTTACTAGTTTTTGACTTATTTTTTAATGGATCATCAGAAGTTTTTTTTACATTAAGCACAAAAATAATCAGTTTAAAGAACTGCATAATCATCGATTGCTCTTTTGGTGGTCAGAATCGGGTAGGATTACCCTCTTGCAATTATTATTGAAAAGATTTGTAGTTTTGTAAGATGTATTTTGTTTTGATCTTTTTTGTTGTGGGCTAATTGTGATCATTTCTTTTTTTTTTGATTGTTATTTATTAATTATAGATGAGTTTTACAAAAAGTACACCTTTGGCATGCTGAAATCTCTACGAGTTCTGGGGCTCTTTATGTATATTCAGTATTTCTTTGCGATGATGCTACAGTTGTTGAACTATCATTATTTAGCTGTGGTAAACATTGTGAAAGTTTCCTTCCTTGCTATTTATTTTGTTCTTTGCTCGTTGTTTGCAAAATTTATTACCAATGACAAAGCTGGTTTACTCAATCTTGTTAATAACATCAATGATACTAAAGCCAACTTTTAAAAGCTATCGGGGTTTGTCTGCATTTTTATTACTTATGCTGCAGTTCAAATAAGTATTCAGTTCACAGTATAAACCTTAACTGCAGAGAAGCTTTTGTATGCACTGAGCATTTTGCGGAAGGGCACAGGAGCAGTTGCAAGTATGTAACTACTCTTATGTCTTGATTGGTCGTGTTGTTGCGGTTGCCACAGGGCGTTTAAGCAATATACGCTAAGGCGGCGCAAGTACTTGTTTTTGTCTGGAAATGCATCGTTTGAATATACTTTTTGGTGAACGTAGGATGTCTGCTTTAATTTCTGTTGGGGTTGGTGATTCTGTGTTTTTGAGTTGCTGAAAAGTGTCTGGTTTTCCGCTTTGATTTGCTAACAACTTGATGGGTAGGATGTTCTGTGTCAAGTTTGGAAGTCTGTTGTTCACTTGCCACAGCGAGTTATTGCTGAAAACTTGTGTTTTTTTATCTTGTAGGAGAGAAATGTCGATGGAAGTTTATGTGGTTAGGCTTTGTTAATTGGATTGCCCCGTACAATATCACGAAGCACGTATTCTGTAGGGTTTTAGAATAAATTTGTAATTTGAAAGAGTGTTTGATAGTTACACTGATTCAAAAGTTACTGGCTATTAATACTAATTACAGAGCCGGTCAACCAGTTATAGAGGCATCAGAATCAAAAGTCTTTAAAGTTATAGCACATGAATTTGTTGATTTATAGTGCTTATTTGAAACTACTAAGTGAATCAAAGTGATTTTCACTGGTCTGATTCTTGGATAATAAATTGCAATATTTCTGAGTTATCAGATATTGTTACTATCGCTGCAAAAAAAGAAACGAAAACATCTGAAAAAAACTTCAAAAATAATTTAATAAATCTTAATTAAAAAATTAATTTATTATTTAGTGGCTTCAGCATTAACGATGAAATTGTTTAAAGGAAAACATCAGCTGTTTTAAAGTGTTACCGGTGAAAACTGTTAATAACGGTGTTTGTCAAATGAATACCACAAATATTCATTAAAATTTGCTGTTAAAAGCAATGGTCAGCTAAGAGACTTAGAAAGTAATTCTTCAGTTTCTAAGAGTGAGACTGACTGAAAAACTTTTTTTGACCAAGCAAAAGGAATTGAACTTTTAAAATTAGTTTCTAAAGTATGTTTATATGTCAACCAAACTGACTGACCAAAAAAAAAGTGGCATTTGTTGTGATTAACTGTGATTGTTACAGAAAAATAGAAAAAAACTGGCAAGTGATGATCTTAGGACAGTTTATTCGTACATATATACGTATACATTTTTTTTTTTTTTTTGTTTTTTCCAGTGTATGTGTGGTTTTTTGAAGTATTGACTTTAACCGGTTTTTTTTTCTTTTTGGTGGTTGTTTTAAGTCTAGAAAAACGATAGAAAACCCAGAAAACTGTCTGAAAGGAAAACATTAATTTAGTGATGCGTAATTTGTATACTCACATCCAGAATAAATTGAAAACTTTCAAGAAATTTACATTTTTTATACTCAAAATAAAAAGTAGTTTGTCAAAAAGGTAAAAAACGAGTGAATTCAGGTACTAAATTCAGGTATCAATTCAGGTACACATATAATGGATGTCAAAATTTCTTTTTTTCACAGACTTTTCTGTTATTTAAGACTGTGCTAATGTGCATTAAAAGCTTATTTTCAACCAACATTAAACAGACTTCGTTTTTGTTTGCCTGGTTTAGCAGAAATAAAACCACTGATACAGTGAACAGATACTTTTACCACTGATATAGTGAACAGATATCAACGGTGATGAACAATCGAATGTATATTTATTACCTAATCGTATACCACGACAGCCGGTATCGTCGGCATTTGCAGAATTCATAGTAGCAGCGGTTAGCAACAGCAAATTTTACTTACAAGAACCGGTGATTGTTTTACTTGTTGATATGTATATCTCTAATGGTTTGTTGGTATTACTGGTTTCTTAGTTCAAAAAACCAAATAACTTGTGGGTTTTTTTCTTTCTAGCTTATCAAAGAACTACAATAATGCTACTGCTGTTATTTACCTGTATACAATTTGTTCTAAATTTATCAGTAGAACGATGTTTATTTTAGAAAAAAAGAAGAAGAAGTTTATTCTTCTTTTTTTTTTTGCACAAAAGAAGATTTCTGCTTTTTAATGGAATAGTATTGCAGTTGCTTAATGATAGTAATAATAATAATAATTTGATTGCAATTTTGACAGAAGAAACAGGAGTTGGAAAAAGAGTGTCTGTCATATTCTTCAGGTCGATCATATTGTTAAGATTTTTTTGGCACTTTACAATTGTATACAGTGAAGAGTAAATCTAAGTTTTTTGTTGTTCAAAGATCTAGTTAATGATGTTACGGAGGGCGGCAGAATCGAAGTATTATTACATTTCGTCGTGATATGGATAATTTCGGGCAACCAAGAAAAAAGAAAATAAGAAGAAACAACGACAACGATGATAAGTATCTTGTCGATTGGTTTCTAAACCAATAGAAAGATTTCGCTTTTATAGAATCTGACATAAACAGAGCGTCAAAAAAGGATAATGTGGGAAAGGTAGGAGAAGATTCAGTAATTTCTTCAGATTTGATTGTCAGAAGAGGAACATTGCGGACCAAGTATCATTCAAAGTATTTGCAACTAATTTATGTCAGTTTATTAGTCATACTTTAAAAAAAAACACTTTTATTGTCACCATTTTAGATGCTTTCTTGTTGAATTTCTCCTTTCTAATTGATTAAAATCATGCCTTGCTAGGACCGGTATAGTGCTCATCATGTTTAATGCAGTCATTAAAAAAAAAACAGTTAATGATGAAGGTTCTGGCGACAAGAAATTAGGAAAAGTTGCTTAAAACAGTAGAGCGTAAAATGCAAAAAAAAACTTTGGAACTGTAAATTCTGAGGAAAAAAACAAACCAGAATATGCATTAAATTTAACAGAGTATTACTATATTGAAGTTTCTTAAAAGTTTTTGAAAAATTACCAATTTAGAAACGAGTCGCAAAATAAAAAAATTCTTATCTTATGAGATCTCAACAGTTTGAAATTGGAAATTTGGAAGAACTGCTTGTTTAGTTGTTATATAGCCGACCACGAGCTGAATTCAAAGCAATTTAAACAGTCAAACAAATTTAATAATTTTACGAACTCATTTAATTAGTAAACTAGCGATCAGATGTGACAAACGGATGAATACTTAACTTTTTAGTTTTTGCAACTTTAGATACAGTAGAATGTCGTAGTTGTAGCGTGTTAGCTGATGTTTGGCAACACTACCCACTGAACTTAATGATTTTGTAGTTAACTAATCTTTCCTAGAAACACCTATAATACATTTTTTTAGTAATACAAAGAAAAAAACAATAAAAAAAAACGAGGTTTTTCTATTTGCTGGTCTGCTTCTAAAGCAAAAGTTTTTTCTTTAAAGAATCAAGAAACAAGGTTCATACCATTCTCTTGTCATAGCACAAAGTATTGTCTATTAGCACTTAGGCTAAACTTTTGGTTGCAATTAGTTATTTGAAATGCGTTAAGATGTACAGAAATATATAATACATATAATTGTGAAACGATAATAATGGTCAACTTTATCTGCGGATGTTGCGGTATGTGAGATCGAGCTGGGGGAAAAAGTAGTGGAGGCGGTACAACGAACGAAGAAAACGCTGCGGTTTTTAGTTAGTAGCTAAAAAACGATTCATTCAAATGATCAAAAAGGTAGAAAAAAAAAATTCTTTCTCTTTATTTTTTCTTTTTATTTTGATGCCCAAAATCAAGCAATAAAGCAAGCAAAAAAAAAGCATTACAAATTGTTATTTGATTTTGATCATCGTCATCATCGTCGGCAACAAAGCAGATGAAAAACAGCAACAACAGCAGAAGCAGCAGCAGCAGCAGCATAAGCAAACACCAAACGAGACAGCAACCGGCAATAAAAATACGTTGCAAACGTTTTTTTTTTTCTTCCACTTTTGTAATTCTTTTGGTTAACATTTTTGATTGAAAAATGATGACTAATCTACAAATAGATACGTATCCCCTCCTCCCCTCTCTCCCCCCTTCCCCCCTCACTTCCCACCAC